CACCACCACCCACCGGCTGTGATGGAAAGCCAGGGCTGGGACCTTCTGGAGCCAGCCCCTGCACGGGGTTCTGGCTGAGGAGTGGGACCCCAAAGCCAGCCTGGAGCTGGCAGTGCCAGGAGTAGGTGGCATGGACAGGGTCCAGCTCAAGGTGCCCAGACTGCCACGGAAAACAGTCACAAATCAGGCAAGCAGCCACTGCTCCCTCCCCTCCTAAGGGTCACATCCCGTGGGTGCCACAGGTCCTGGGTGAGCAGAGAGGCTTTTCCCGGCTATGGAGCCGACATGTCCGACTGCTGAGCAAGCCCAGCCCCCCGATCCCAGCCTCTTCCCTGGAATGCGGAGCCCCCCGGCCAGAGCCCCCAGGCAAAATGTTTACTGTACGAGCCGCGCGTTAACCGCTTCCCAGCCGCCGGCCCCGGGCACAGCCGGGGGCACCTGCTCCGCTCGCCCCTGCCCCCAAACAGGCACTTCATTCCCTCCTGCTGCTCCCGAGGGGACGCATCAGAGGCACCGCCATGCCAGGGTGCCCTCGCTGTGCCAGGCAGGGCTGTGTGGGGGCGAAGGAGCCCCCAGCCCCACACTCGCACTGCCCCCGGGGTGCTGAGCAGGTCAGGGACACGCGGGGGGATGTACCCCTGGATGCATCGAGTGAGTGTCCTGCCCACATCCCGTCCAGGACACAGTGGGTTCCCACTGCCCTCTCCTCCATCCTGCTGCCTGTGATGCTGCTGGCTAGCACAGTGCCCGGCGGGCGACCCGGCTCCCATAGCCACCCACCCATCCCCGGCCAAGCCAAAAACACCGCGGGAAGGAAGGGAAAAAATGCAAGTCTGTTTCCTAAAGGCTCTGGGAAAAAATGTTGCATTACGCGGGGCACGGCCAAAACCAACAGGGCTTGGCAGCGCGGCGCAGCCCCGGGCCAGGGAGCCCAGACAGCTCCTGCAGGATGTGGGATGAGGACAGACAGGCAGGACAGGGGGGCTCCGAGCACTCCGTGCCAGCTCCTGTCCCAGCAGGGGGGTGGCCAGAGGGGTTTATGCAGGCACTCATCACAGCAGGGACACCAGAGGAGCTGCCATGGATCAGATATGCAAGGAGGGAGTGGAAGTGGGATCCAGCCCCACAGATGGGCAGGACAAACATTGCTGCAGTCCCTTCTGCCCCTCAGGGGGCTCCAAGTGACCCCGCATGGGGACCCAGGGTCAGCCAGACCAGCTTGTAGATTATTCTGGGATGATAATCCCCACCTTCAGGGGACATGGTCCTGGTCACAGCCTGCAGGGTGGGAAAGGGGGACCACCAATGGACCAGGTCCCCACACTCCTTCCCTGGGAGCAGCTTCACTGCCATGGTGTGACCTGCACAGCTCTGGGGTGGGCTCCCACTGCTGGCTCCACTCTCAGAGCCCAGATCCTGAGCACCAGGGGTGTGGCAGAGGGCTACCAGCACTACCTGCAAGGCAGACAGGGCACCCTGGCAGCACCTCCTGCAGCCCGCTGCCCTGCCTGGCAGGGCACACACAGCTCCCACCCAGCTCCCAGCTGGACCTGCCTGCAGGGAAGCAGGTGCCCCCTGGCCTCTTTCCTGTTCCCCTCGGCAGCATCCCAGGGGTCACTGTGCAACAGGAGCTTCCCTGGCAGCTGGGATGTGTCCCCAAGGGCTGCAGGTGCTCCCAGGACACTGTCCCACTGTCCAGGGCCACACTGCAGCCAGGGCACAGCAGGTGAAGGTTCACCTCTCCTGCACATGTGGTGCCAGTGGCTGCAGCACTGCTGTGCCCACGGAGGGTAAGGAGGGCACAAATGTGAGCCAGGTCTCCTGCAGCCTATCTCTGCCCCCTCCCTGGAACATGCTCCCTGCACTCCCATCCTGTGCTGTCCCATCCCATCCTGCTTCTTAGAGTCATGGAATTGTTTAGGCTGGAAGGGACCATAAAGACCACCCAGTTCTGCCCTCCTGCCATGGCAAACCTTCCACCAGATGAGGTTGCTCCAAAGCTCAACCCACCTGGCCTTGAACACTTCCAGGCAAAGGGCATCCAGAAATATTCTGGGCAACCTGTGCCAGAGCCTCACCGCCCTCAAAGGGAGGAATCTCCTCCTAAACATCTAACCTAAATCTTCCCTTTTTAGTTTAAAATCCTTCCCCTTGCCCTGTCACAGTCTATCCGTGTAAAAGTCACTCCTCATCATGTTTATCAGCTCCCTCTAAGTATGGGAAGGTCCCTGATGAGTCCAATCCAGTGGCCACAGCTCTTGCCGAGTGAGCAGCGAGTGGGTTGGTGCCAACAGGGGTCATGCCACTGCCCCTGTGAGGGACAAGCACCCCCAGGCACCCACCCAGGGTACCCACCCTGGGCACCCACCCTCCGCCGCCCCTCCGCCGCCTCACCTGGGGGCTGGAGGCTCTCCTGGATGGCCTCGACGTCGGCCAGGTCTGTGCAGATGCCCTGGCCGTGCATGAGGGTGCGGAGGGGCCGGGGCTCGCCCCGGGGCGGGTAGCAGCGCAGCCCCGCTCCGCAGCGCGCGGTGTAGACGCCGCAGGCGGTGCCGCGGGGCAGCGCGCAGGTCGCGCAGCACCCGCAGCCCGGCTCCCGCACCAGCTCCGCGCAGCCCTGCGGAGCCTTGCACCGCGCCAGCCGCTCCTCCGAGCACGGCGGGCACTGGATCGCCTCCTCGCCGCTGCCCGGCCGCGCCAACGCCGCCAGCAGCGCCAGCAGCACCGGCAGCACCGGCAGCCCCGGCAGCACCGGCGCCCTCGGCCCCTCCGGGCAGCATCAGCAGTCCCAGCGGAAGATTTGCAGTCTCTTCGTACCGCTGCAGCTTGCAGCAATAGCAAGTTGCTTTGCTGATGAGCCAGAAGTGGCAGGGGGCGGCGGCGGCGGCTTTATGCGGCTTTATGCGGCCCCTGGCCACACCTCCCGCCGCCGCCACCGGGGCCACCGGCGGGGCCGCCCCCGTGGCCACCGGGAACCCACCGGGCAGCGACGCTCCCCCCGGCGGCGGCCACACCGGCACCGGCACCGCCGGTGGCTTCAGAAGCGAGGCCACCGGCGGGGCAGCCCCGGCGCCGGGCAGCGCGGGGAGCCCCCGGCCCCGCGGCACCCACCCCAATCACCCGGCTCCTCCACCCTCGCTCAGTCCCGAGAGCAACCGGGATGAAAGGGGGTCACACCGTGCGGGGCTGCAGCGCGGGGAGCGCGGCCGAGACCCCTGGGGTGGGCTCCGGGCTCGGCGTGTGGGGGGCCCCGGCGGGCGAAAAAGTGCTGCTGACAGCGGAGCATCCCGCACGGCTCGGCCCCGGTGTGTCCGGGGCGGCCCGGGGCGGCCCCGGCGGCTCCCCGAGCCCACCTGCCCCCGGTTCCGCAGCCGCGGCCCCCCGCGCCCCCCGCCCCGCTCAGCCCGGGATAGGTTGAAGGCTGCCGGCACCTAGTGGCTACTCGGGAAAAACGGGAGCGGGCGGAAGCCCCGGCTGCCTCCTGGGACCCCGGCCCCGTCACCGGGCGAGGGTGGGAGCCCAGAGACGGCGGGGAGCAGTCCCTGGACACCGAGCACCACCCGGGGCTGGTGACCCCCGAGCTTCGCCCTGGGGCATCGCAGTCAGCATCGGGTTTGGGACAGCTGGAGGGACCTGTCTGGATGTGGGGAGGGGGGCGTGGGCACTGCAGGGGTGTCTTGGATATGGCAGGGGGGCCCTGGTGTGGGGGGCAGTGCAGTGGGTGGGACAAGAGGAGCAGAGCTGCCTGTCATGCAGGGCCCGGGCTGAGAACCCCAACTCATCTCATGCGTGAGTACATCAGTGCTCAAACTGGCATTTTGGGGCTTGAGTGACAGCACTGGTGGCATCGCCACCAGGGCTCTCAAGACCATCTTCTCTCTCTCATGCAGGTGAGTTGGGCACTAACAAGTGCAGGGAAGACAGGGGCAAACAGGGATGTCCCCCACACCCCCCAGACCCCACAAGGTATCCTCACAGCACTTCTCTGAGCCCCTGCCCTGCCGGGCACTGCTGCACAGTGGCCGTGACTCGGGGCAGAGGCGCCAGCCTTGACTCAGTGTCCCAGCAGAGACCAAACCCAAACAGGTGCCCAGTCCTGCTCAGGCTGTGGCACCTTATCAGGCCCTGGCAGCACTGCGTGCCCGCCAGGGAGACTGTTGTGTCTGCGGGCAGAGGCAGAGCCAGCAGCCCTTGGGGCACGCAGGGGAGGACAGTGTTCCCTCACCTCTGCCCAGGCACTGCTCCTCCGGGTCCCTGTCCCAGCACCATCCTGTGAAACGGAGTCGGGCTGGGCTGGTGCCCCCCAGAGTTGTGCTGCCCCCACCCCAAGCACAGCTCTGAGGCCAGGCAGGGGCTCAGTGCTGGTGTTTGGTGCTCAGGTGCTTGCCTGGGACAGCCTCATGCCCCCAGTCCTTGATGGGGGGCTCTTTGGGGCTGTGGGGGCCCAAACTGGCTGCTGGTGCTCAGCCACACACCCAGCAGGGTCTGGAGCTGCCACAGCCCTGGGGAGAGGTTGCAGGCCAGCAAAAGGCAGGAGCAAGAGGGAGCTGGGGGTCAGAAATGGCTGTAGCCCCCCACTGAGAAACCAGTGAGTCCCTGATGAAACCAGTGAGACCCTGATGAAACCAGTGAGACCCTGATGAAACCAGTGAGACCCTTTGGATGTACTTTGGGATGGTGCCTGCACAGCTCCTGCAGGACTCCAACACCTCCTGCCTCCAGACACCAGCAGCAGCATAGACCCCAGGGAGGACCTGCAGCCAGTGCCCTCTGTCCTCAGCCAGCCCCCTCCTCCACTGCATTTACTCCCCATTTCCAGGCAGCTTCTCCTCCCCAGCCCTCCCTCGCATCTGGCATCTCCTCCTCGCTCTGGCTCCCGTTCTGTGGCTCCCCCTGCCCCCTCTCCCGGGGCTGGCAGGACAGACGGTGTCCTGGCTGCGTGGGGGCTCAGCACCCGCCGGATGCGGCCCGTGGGTGCGGGTGCGGGTGCGGGGCGGGCCGGGGGCGTGTCGGGGGCCGCCGATAACAGCGGGCGCCGTGCCGGGGCCGCGGGACCAGACGGCGCAGGGAGTGGGACGAGCCAAGGACCCCCATCCTGGGCAGCAGAATGGGGTCCAGCAGCCTCCTGAGACTCCTCTGCATCGTCTCGGTGCTGGCCAGGTGCCCGCACCCTGCCACGGCCCAGTGGTTTTCCCTGGGCTCAGAGGAGACCACCCCGGATCCAGGCACCAGCCCCGTGCCCCCCAGCCTGGGTGGGGAGGAAGGTAGGAATGGTGGGATGGGGACGTGGCTTTCTCAGCACCCCAAATTCCTGCACCTCAGCATGGAGGGGGCATGTGAAGGGTGGTGGGTGGGGTGCCAGGGTCTGGGCTGCTGGTGGCACTGCTGTGGCCATGGGAGTGTTGTGCCACCCCTCCAGCCCTGCCACCTCCCATCTCGGCGCTCCTTTGCTCCTGCAGACACAGACACCAGTGTGGAGCCCGTGGGGAAGGTGCTGCTGAGCAAACCTCCTCTGGCAACAGCCCCTAAACGCCGGGACCAACTCTCCAGGGGGGCAGCGAAGGGGTCAGGCCGTGCTCCGCCACGCACACGAGGCCAGGTCATTTTTCCCTGGGCAGTGCTCTCCCTCCGGCTCCTCCAGCCCTCCCGAAACTCCCCAGCTGCTGTCAGGCTCCTTGCTGTGTCCTTCCCCTTATCCTGTGTTATTCCGTGTGTGCCCTGCTTGCACACACCAGCCAGGGCACCATGCCCTGCTCCAACCCCCAACTCAGCTTCCTCTGCCCCCTCGGAAAGAAGTCACGGCAGCTCCCAGTGTCCCCAGCTGTGCTGGACAGGGCCCCCACACCGAGCTGAGGGCAGCCCCGACTGGGGGAGGGTCCCACCTACCCCCAGGATCCCCCCGAGCCCTGCACTGAGTGGTCCCTGTCTGTCTGTCCCAAGCAGCACCGACCCACGGCCGCCCCGGAGGTCTTGGAGGGGAGCGCAGTGGAGGAGGAGTTCCTGCAGATCCAGGTGCTGGAGGGGTCCTGGTCCCCGGGGAGGCGTCAGGGACAGCCTGGCATGGACACCGGGACAAGGGGCTCTGGAAGGGCGGGATGGAAGGGTGGGGAAGCGCCCAGGGGCTGGCAGGGATGGGGACGGTGGCAGTGGGGAACGGGGATGCTGCTCAGGGATGTCTCAGCCCTTTTCTCCTCCACACAGACCACGGCCAAGGGTCTGCCCCGGCGGGTCCCGTCGTTCCCGGAGACGGACCCTGCCCTCCAGGTGGGTGAGGTGGGCACGGGGCACCGGTGTCGGACCCCTCGGTGGGGGCTCCGGCCCCGCGGCTCACGGCTGCTCTCTCCCCGTCCAGGCGCGCAACATCTCCGGCTGTGTCTGCCCCGTGCGCCCCGGCCCCCCCGGCCCCCCCGGCCCAAAGGTGCGCTGGTCCTCCCGCAGGCACCCACAGGGACACACCGTGCGAAACCCTGATGGGCTTTTGTCTGTGCGAAAACCCTTGTTGCTCAGGATTTGCACTCTTAACTTTGGGGTTTGGGTTGAGAAGTGACTCGGGTGGCCCCAGGGAGGGACTCAGCAGGTGCCCGTGGTGGGCTCCATGGAGCAAAGTGCCAGAAGGTGGAGCCAGGCTCTGGATTTCCCCGACAGGGAGAGAAAGGTGACCGAGGGTTCCCTGGAGAGAGAGGCCAGCCCGGATTCTTAGGGGAGAGAGGGAAGTCGGGCAGCCCAGGACAGCCAGGTCACCAGGGTCCCCGGGGCCCTCCGGGTCCTCCGGGACCACCGGGGCCCCCGGGACCCCCGGGAGCCTGGGGAGCCCGGGGCTCACCCGCGTCTGCTGCACTCGCTGAGAGATCAGAGCACGAGGTGAGCACCGGAGCAGGACCAAGGGCAGGCGATGCCGGTGCTGCCGCAGGGTCCGTCCCCGGCGGGACTGGCGGGGGTGGGGAGGACCGGGGCGTGAGGCTGTGCGGGTGGGCAGGGGGACCAGGGGACTCGACACGGCAGCTCATTGACTCTGCTCCTTCTCCTCTCTCCAACCCGACAAGCAGATGGGAGTCTCCAGCCCTGTGGGAAACCCAGGACCCCCGGGTCCCCCCGGGCTGCCCGGCATGCCCGGACCCCCCGGCTACCCAGGCCATGATGGCCCCCAGGGGGCCCCTGGGCGGGAGGGAAAGCCAGGACCCCCAGGCCCTCCAGGAGCCGTGGGGCCACCTGGTTTCCCTGGGGCTGAAGGACTTCCAGGGTCTCCAGGCTCAGCTGGACCAGATGGACCCCCAGGGGCACCCGGACTCCCAGGGCCTCAGGGTCCCCCCGGGGTGCCTGGGCATGAAGGACCCCCTGGTCCCCCAGGAGCTGCATCACACCCTGGCAAACCAGGGCTCCGAGGGGAGCCAGGATTCCCAGGACCAAAGGTAAGGGTGTGCCAGCCCAGCCTGTCCGTGGCCCTGGGGTGGGATGGGGTACGTGGGCTCACCAGCCCCTCGCCCTGTCCCATTACCAAACCCTCAGAGCACTCCAGGGCTGCCCCAATCCTGCTCCAGTGGGGCCTGGGGGAGCCCAGGGGCTCAACCCCACACTCACCACCCTGTGCCATCCACCCTCAGGGTGACAAGGGCGAGTATGGGCTGCCAGGCATGCCAGGGAGCCCTGGCCGGACCGGAGAGCCAGGGTCCCCTGGCATGCCCGGTCCCATGGGGCCACCAGGACCACCAGGGGACTACAGGGTAAGTAGGGGGTCCTGAGCTGGGGGTCCTGGGTGGGGAGAACTGCAGTGTCACCCCACACATCCTCTCTTTGCAGTGTGACTCACGCCACGCTGGACACCGAGGGTTGGCCGGGCTGGCGGGCCCCAAGGTGAGCTGGGCACCGTGGGCAGGGGTCCTGGCACCCTCCATGGTACCCTGCTTGTGAGGCACAGCACTGCCTGGGGGGTTTAGGAGGCCTGGGGACCCCCAGAGCTGGGCACTGACAGGATCTCTCACTTCCCTTCCAGGGAGAAAAGGGCGACCCTGGAGAGCCGGTTTGTAGCCACCAGCAGCAGTGTGGGGGGAGAGCAGCAGGCTGGGGGGTCCCATCCCTACACCCGAGTGTGCACCCCTGAGCTCTTCATGCTGCCTTTGCTCCCCCAACACCCTTCACCTACCCCTGGGGCACAGGGTGGGTGAGGAGGGACACCATGGCACACACAGACGCACACGTGTGCACACCTGTGCCACCCACAAACACCCCCAGGACACCCCAGAGTCCCCCCCAGGCTCAGCACAGGCTCTAATCCTGCCTCTCTCTGTGCTCACCCAGGGGTGCTGCTATGGGGAGCACGGGTGCAAAGCAGGGCACCTCCCCTTCCCCAGCACTGGCAGCCAGCCCAGCTCCTGGGGGTCCATCAGCAGGTACCAGACGGTGAGTGGCCAGGGGAAGGGGTGCCTGGGGACCCCAGCCCAGCTTTGGGGACATGGTTCACCCCACAGGACCCAAACCCCAGAGCGGGTGGAGGAAGGAGAAGGGGAGAAGGGAAAATGGAGAGAGGGAGGAGGGAGATCAGTCTCAGTCTTCTCCCTCTTCCTTTGCAGGATGGCAAAGAGGAACCAGAGATTTATGGAGCCATCATCCCCCATGTGAGAGCCCTGCCTGGCCCGTGCTGCCCCAGGGACATTCAGCCCTGGGAGGGGACAGGAGTGGGAACATGGGGGACACAACTGGGTGTCAGAGCTGCCCCCCTAAAAGGCAGCACCAAAACTGCCCAGTCCAATCTCCACACTGCAGGGTCTTCGAGGTCCCCCCGGGAACCCCGGCCCCCCTGGGCCCCCCGGCCCCCCTGGCCCACCAGGTCTCCTCTACCTCAATGTAAGGCTGGTGTGCACACGCCTGTGTCAGAGCACACACACGTGTGAGCGTGCACAGCACCCCAAACCTGCCTGTCTTTGCTTGCAGAGGGTGCACCCCGTGCATGCCCAGCCGCCCTGCAAGCAGCCGGTAAGCCACAGCCTCGCTGTCCCCAAGAGTGTCCCCGTCCCCTCCCTGTGCCCAGCAGCAGACACAGGCTCTGTTTGCCCTCACAGGCATCCACAGACCGCAGCTGGCCGTCAGGTGAGGGCGTTTCCCAGGTGTTTTGGGGGCTCCAGACTCCTTGGAGACATCTTTCCTGAAGTCTTCCTCCTTTCCTTGGGCACTGGGACGGTGCCAGCACGGGTCCCTTGCACCACTGCTGGCTCTCCCACCCACTCCCACCACATCCCCGTGGGGCCAGCTCCCATGGGAGCACCCAGGCCCTATTCTGGGACATTTTGTGATCCCCCTCACCATCTCTGGGCTCTCCAGATGCTGGTGTCCCTCAGGCAGAGCCATCGGACTCCCGCGCTGATCTCCGGGTGCGTCCAGGCTGCACCCCCAGGCAAACCCCCCCAGCTGCCCCGTAGCCCACAGCAGGACCCTCACCCTCTGCCTCCCCCCAGCGCCAGACGTGGGTTTTCAAGTCCAAGGAGCTGATGGTGAAGGCGAGCAGTGCTGTGCCCGAGGGGAGCCTGGTCTATGTGAGGGAGGGGAGCAACGCCTTCCTCCGGACCCCCGCTGGCTGGAGCCGCCTCCTGGTACCGTGTGGGGTCCCTGGCAGGATCCAGGGCTGGATTTGGCAGCAGATCCCCAGGAAGGAGAGGATTCCCCCTAACCTGTCCCTCTGTTTGTGCCATTGAGCAGCTGGAGGATTCAAAGTCGTTCTTGGCTGGTGATGACCCCTCTGCCTCCACCCCACAGTACCAGGTGAGGGGTGCAGGATCTGCTGGGTCCATTTGTGTCCCTGTATGGGGACAGAGCCCTCCTCTGCATGATGGAGTGGACAGAACTCACATGACTGTTCTCTCTTTCTTCTTCCACCTCTCCATCCAGGAGGTGAAGAGGGTTCAGCCAAGAGGTTCCAACACGCTGTCACCCGTGCAGGCTCCAGCAGACCCACTGGTGAGCCCTGCTGAGGGTCTGGCCATGCTGGGAGGGATGTGCCCTGGCAATGGGCTGGATGTCAGCAGGGCAGTGCCAGCTCGGCATGAGCAGAGCCTGGGGTCGTGTTGGTCTGGGGAGGGTGCCCCCCACTCATGGCACACAGATGGGTGTCCCCAGACTGAGCTGAGCTGTGTTTTTGCAGATCCAGAAGGAGGAGGAACAACGGCTGCCCCAGATTCTGCCAACCACCACGGCCCCACGGATCCCATCTGTAAGGAATGCCTGACCCAGGGTGGGATGAGCAGCCAGAACACGGGACAGGGGGGAGAGGTGCCCCAATCCTGCCCAGCACTGCCAGGGGCTCACACCCTCTGTGAAGAGGGAGGCAGAGACCTCAATTCCTCCCTGCCGCGCCCAGCTCCGCCTGGCTGCCCTCAACGTGCCGCTGTGGGGTGACACGAGCGGGATCCGCGGCGCCGACCTGCAGTGCTACCGGCAGGCACAGGAGGCCGGGCTCTACGGAACCTTCCGGGCCTTCCTGTCGGCCCCCAGCCAGCAGCTGGCGTCCATCGTCAAGAGGACAGACAGGACCCTCCCCATCGTCAACCTGAAGGCAGGTACCCCGTCCCCAGGGGGCTGGGGGTGGCGAAGCCTCACAGCCCCCATGAGCTGCAGCGGGTGGGGGACCCCCCAATGCGGGGGGCTCAGGGATTTGGGGAGCTGGCAGCACCCAGAGGATGTTATTGCCCCCAAGTTCTGGGGACAAGGGCATTCCACGAGCAGAGTGGCTCGTGCCCACAGGGGCAGCTGCTGGCCAAGTCCTGGAGCTCCCTCTTTGGGGGTGCTGCCCTGCGGGGCCCCATCTACTCCTTCAACGGGCGCAGCGTGCTGGCAGATCCCCTCTGGTGAGTGTGGGTGGGGTGTGGGTGGATAATTCCCTTGTGTGGGGGTCTGTGCTGGCTCCCTCCCTGGAGCAAAGAGCAGGGGTGCCCCTCTCACCCCGTGCCCACCCACAGGCCACACCGGCTGGCCTGGCACGGCTCCACGCCGCGGGGCGGCCATGCCCGCCGCTGGGACTGCCAGGGCTGGCACAGCAGCTCCGGCACGGCCCAGGGCATGGCCAGCGCCCTGGGCGAGGGCAGGCTGCTGGCCGGGCAGCGCCACAACTGCTCCGCGCCGCTGGCCGTGCTCTGCGTGGAGGTGGCTTTTCCCTACCGCCACATGTGGTGACAGCAGCATTCCGGGGGGAACGTCCCCCGGAGCACTGAGGGGACAGCGGGCCCACAGCCGTGCCAGCCCATTGCCCCTGTGCCACGGGGCAACGCTGGGCTGTGCCTGCAGCCCCCGCTGGAGGCAACACGGCCGCCACACAGAAATAAAGACACAGAAATGTTGGGTTTTATGACGCTGCTTTGTTCTGGGGGGACACGGCCCGCTGCAGCCAGGGGCTGAGGGGACACACCCGGGAATGGGAATGGGAACAGGGGCTGGGAGCGGGCTGCAGTCCCCCGGGGCTGGCAGAAACTGGCAGGGGACACCCTGGCACAGCTCTCCATGTCAGTGAGGTCTGTGTTTTGGTCCCAGGACACAAATGTGTCCCAGTGCATCCCAGCGGGTTGGCAGGTGTTGCTCAGTGTATTCCTGTGGGTTCCTGAGGCCTTCCCAGTGAATCCCAGTGCATCCCAGTGATTCCCAGTGCATCCCAGTGCGTGTCCAAGATCTGCCCAGTGTATCCCAGTGATTCCCAGTGGGTGTCCAAAGTCTGTCCAGTGCATCCCAGTGATTCCCAGTGCATCCCAGTGCGTGTCCAAGACCTGCCCAGTGTATCCCAGTGATTCCCAGTGGGTGTCCAGGCTCTGTCCAGTGTATCCCAGTGCATCCCAGTGATTCCCAGTGTATCCCAGTGGGTGTCCAGGCTCTGTCCAGTGTATCCCAGTGATTCCCAGTGTATCCCAGTGCGTGTGCAAGGTCTGTCCAGTGTATCCCAGTGATTCCCAGTATATCCCAGTGCACGTCCAAGATCTGCCCAGTGTATCCCAGTGATTCCCAGCGGGTGTCCAGGCTCTGTCCAGTGTATCCCAGTGATTCCCAATGTATCCCAGTGGGTGTCCAAGGTCTGCCCAGTATATCCCAGTGGGTGTGCAAGGTCTGTCCAGTGCATCCCAGTGATTCCCAGTGTATCCCAGTGGGTGTCCAGGCTCTGTCCAGTGTATCCAGTGATTCCCAGTATATCCCAGTGGGTGTCCAGGCTCTGTCCAGTGTATCCCAGTGATTCCCAGTATATCCCAGTGGGTGTTCAAAGTCTGCCCAGTGTATCCCAGTGCATGTCTAAGGCCTGTCCAGCGTATCCCAGTGATTCCCAGTGTATCCCAGTGGGTGTCCAAGGCCTGTCCAGTGTATCCCAGTGCATCTCAGTGATTCCCAGTGTATCCCAGTGGCTGTCCAGACTCTCTGTCCAGCGTAATCCAGTGATTCCCAGTGTATCCCAGTGTGTGTCCAAGCTCTGTCCAGCGTATCCCAGTGATTCCCAGTGTGTCCCAGTATGTCCCACCATCAACGGCAAACGGGCAGCCTCGGCGCCCCCCTCTCGCTCTTCTATTGGTCAATCTCGCTGCCAATCTCACCGCTCTCCCTCCCGACTAGCCGGTTTGAACGCGCGGCGCGGCCTCTGATTGGCCAGAGGGCGGGCAGAGCTCTAGCCGTGTGCCCGCCCCCACACTGCGATTGGCAGAGCGCCGGGGGCGGCGAGCGGGGATTGGCTGCGCGTTTCGGCGGGACGAGCGGAGGTTTGAAGGGGACGTTGGCGCCGCCATCACCGCCTCAGCCGCTATCGCCACCGCCTCAGCCGCTGTCGCCACCGCCATCGCCATGGAGCTCTCGCAGCCCCAGTCGCCCCTCCGGGTGCGTCCTGCGACCGCTGCCCCCGACCCTGCGGGGCTCCGTGATCCCCCGCCACACCGTCCCCTCGAGCTCTCGGGAACCCGCGAGTTCTCCCCGGTCCCCCTCAGCATCCCCCCGGGTCCTTCACAGCCCCGCTTGGGTCTCCCTCAGGGTCTGCCCGGGTTCCTCTCTCTGTCCTTTCCCCAGCCCTCCTTCTCCTCTGCCCTTGCGGTTCTCTCCGCGCCCCCCAGCCCGATCCCTTCTCTCCGCGGCCCCTCGTGTTCCCCTCGTCCGTCCCTCACGGCCGCCGCCTGTGCCCCGCCAGCCCGCCAAGGAGAACATCCTCGTCAGCAAGCCCGACGGCCCCAAGAAGCTCTCGGTGGAGCACATCTACCAGAAAAAGACGCAGCTGGAGCACATCCTGCTCCGGCCAGACACCTACATCGGCTCCGTGGAGCTCGTCACCCAGGTAGGAGCGGGGGGAGCGGGGCTGAGCCCCCCGAGCACCTCGGGGCAGGCGGGGAGTCCTCAGCAGCTGTTTACAAAGCACAAAGCATCTTATCAATCATGCTTTACAATCGCAAAACATCTGCTTTACAAACGGACGGCGCAGAGGAGGGGTTGTACCTGGCCACTTACAAACTCTTTTTTTTTTTTACAGCAAATGTGGGTTTATGATGAAGGCATTGGTCTCAACTGCAGAGATGTGACCTTTGTGCCTGGCTTGTACAAAATCTTCGATGAGATTCTGGGTAAGCTGACATCCATTGAGTCAATGAGTGATGGGTTATTAACGGGGTTTGAATGGAAGAAACTGGAACTAAACAAAAATTATCAAGAACTTATTAGCACTGCTTAATAGCAAGCCATTCATGGGAAACAAACAAAAGGAAAAAATTCAAAAATCCAATTACAAACCTGATTTCGTTCTGCCCAAAATTCTCCCTTTTATGTCAATGGTTGCACTGGAGGAATTCAGAGGTCATTTCCAACCTTCATAATTCCATGATAACTTGCACTCCTCTTTGTAATTTGCAAAATATTTTCATGCTGAAGTGATTATTAGTAACACCGTAGTGAGTTTTTGTGTTCATTCTACTGGAAGACTTCATAGTTTTCCCTTGATTGAAAATGTAATAAAAAAACCAATATTCTCTTTCCTTTCTAGTCAATGCTGCAGACAACAAGCAGAGGGATAAAAACATGTCGTGCATTAAAGTCACAATTGATGTGTAAGTTTGGGTTCATTGTTTGAAACGTTGTATTGTGGCACTGCAGGGCTGTGGGGCTGATCTGAGCTAGCCCAAATTTAATTCACCATTGTGAAAGCCTTTCTCTCTGCATAGTCCCCTGGTATCTTACAGAGGCTGACTGGGGAAGCATCTGCTCTTTCCTTGCTGTGGTTTCCCATCTCTTCCTCTCCCTGTTCATCCTGATGGAGCACAGACAGGGTTTTTGTGTATGGGTCCATTTCAGAGCCAGCATGTGCAGGTCTGGGCATTTCTGTGTTGCCTGTCCCCCCTCTGCTGGCAGCTGCTGCACTTGCTGAGCACAGATTTGTTCCTGGTGAAATGGTGCCTTTCCCCAGAGCCTTTTGGTGACTTCTTTCACAGCTCAGCCATTTGCAGCTTTAAAAACACACTTTTTTTTTCCCCTCCCCAGAGAGAACAACACAATCAGTGTGTGGAACAACGGGAAAGGTATCCCAGTTGTTGAACACAAAGTGGAGAAGGTCTATGTGCCTGCTCTGATCTTTGGACAGCTGCTGACATCCAGCAACTACGATGACAATGAGAAGAAAGTCACAGGTGAGGAAGGCTCAGATATGCACTAATATCTCTGAGCAGCTCCAAGAGTGTGAAAAGGGCAGGAAGGGGATCCTTGATGCAGTGTGAAAACTGAAATAGGGGAAATTTAGGTGAGATATACAGAAGAAATTCCTCTCTGTGAGGGTGGTGAGGCCCTGGCACAGGTTGCCCAGAGAAGCTGTGCCTGCCCCATCCCTGGAAGTGTCCAAGGCCAGGTTGGACAGGGCTTGAAGCAACCTGGGCTAGTTGAAGGTGCCCTGCCTACAGCAAATAGTGGGACTGGATGGGCTTTAAGGTCCCTTCCAACCCAAACCATTCTGTGATTCTATGAAAATGACATTCTGAATCTATCAGAGGAGGCTCTGTGCTCTGTTTAATCATAATAACAGTGCAAACATGGGAACAGGGAAAACTGTTTTTGAATATTTTCTTAAAGCCTAACTAAATCAAAGTTTGTAGTTGCATACTGAGCTTGTAGAATATTGTTGCTTGTTGACAGTTGTCTTTGGATTGGGTGGACATTAACAAACTCCAGTTAGTCTTGGATTCTTTTAGATGGTTTTGGACAAAGAGAATAACACAAGTCTGTGTTCCTTCTAATTCCAGGGGGGAGAAATGGTTATGGAGCCAAACTGTGCAACATATTCAGCACAAAGTTTACTGTGGAAACTGGATGTCGTGAATACAAGAAGTTATTCAAGCAGGTAGGAGCACTTTTCTTTCCAAGGATTTTATACCTGAGGTTTTCAAATGAGACCCTCAGGTTTTGTTTCAAAACTAGTTCAGTGTGATTAGAGTAAATTTGGCCCACAAAATGTAATTCAAAGGAATAATTAAATTAGCAGACAGCATCAGAATCTGGTTTTTAACCAGAGGTTTTGTTTAATTTAAAGATATCTAAAAGACATAAACCATCTTACTGCTTTTAAAAACTAAGGTAGTTATGTGTGTGTGTGTGTTTGACTTGCAACTCACCAAAGCTCCTTTCCTCAGACCTGGACAGACAACATGGCAAAGGCTGGAGAAATGAAGCTGAAATACTTTGATGGAGATGATTACACCTGTGTCACTTTCCAACCCGATCTGTCCAAATTCAAAATGACTGTTCTGGATAAGGACATTGTAGCACTGATGTCTCGAAGAGCCTATGATATTGCTGGATCCACAAAGGATGTCAAAGTTTTCCTGAATGGACAGAGGCTTCCTGTAAGTGAGCATTGAAAAGAAAACACAAATATCTTCATTTTTCTGTGCCATTTAACCAGTGAGATTCCTTTGAGACCATTTCTATCATCACATAGAGCAAAGAAACACATACAGGAGGGATTTTTTTTGCAGGAGGATGTGAATTAAGTATTTATAGGAGCTATTATCAACCAGTTGTCTGCTCTCATCTGCTTGCAGGTGAAAGGATTCCGCAGCTATGTGGACCTCTATCTGAAGGATAAGGTCGATGAAACTGGGAATGCACTTAAAGTTATCCACGAGGAAGTGAATCCCCGATGGGAAGTGTGCTTGACTTTGAGTGAAAAAGGCTTCCAGCAAGTCAGCTTTGTTAACAGCATTGCCACCACAAAGGTAAAACTCCTCAGTGTGTTTAATCAAGCTAGTGCCTTATTCTTCACCTTTCACATTCTTGGTTATTTGTAAGTGTACTTGTGTTAGTGAAAAATAATGTTGCAAAGAA